CAGAGAAAAATATTAGAACTGTTTATTTTTTAAACCATTAATTGTATTTAGGAAAAGTTAATATTTAACAAAATATAAAATGTCATTTCAGTAAGTGACCTATGCTTACACTATGTACAAATTGCTTAATATAAGATGAAAACCTTTAGATTCATATCACAAAAGCAGAAATATTCAAAAAGGAAAGGATTAAACATTATTCATAAAGCTGACAACAGGTTTCAGAGATAACTATGTTGTTGTTATTGCTAGATGCTGCTGAGTCGGTTCCAACTCATAGTTGTGCTATGTACAAGAGAACAAAACACTGCCCAGTCCTGCATCGTCCTAATGATCATTATGCTTGAGCCCACTGTTACAGCCACTGTGTCAATTCATCTCATTGAGGGTCTTCCTCTTCTTTGCTGATCCTCAACTTTACCAAGCATGATGTCCTTTTCCAGGGACTGATCCCTCCTGATAACATGTCCAAAGTATGTGAGACAAAGTCTTGCCACCCTGTTTCTAAGGAGCATCCTGGCTGTAACCTCTGAAAGACAGATCTGTTCATTCTTCTGGCAGTCCATGGTATATTCAATAATCTTCGCCAACGCCATAATTCAAAGGCATCAATTATTCTTCAGTCTTCCTTATTCATTACTATAGATAGTAAAAATGTACCTATCCTGAATCATATATATGTGTGTGTATCACAGGTACAATAATGAAGTACTCTCATGCACCAGAATACCTTTAAGCAGCTTCTGAATCATCAGTAAATTATACTGAATTGTTTTAGTATTATTTGACTTCTTATGTAAAAAATCTTTTGCCATAAATTATTTAAGTTAGATTTGGGCTTTGTCTGCCTAATGCTGAACTATTAGTTGACTTACCAAATTCAATCAAATAACTCATTTTCTTTTAAAGATCAATTTGTGCTGTTGATATAAAACCTGTACTAGACAAAACGTTTCCATTTCAACCTGAAGAAAGCAGAAATTCATGACAAGAGATGCAACAGGGTAGAGTGTTCATTGCACTTTCAGCTGGGGAGCAAGCCCTGATGACAACTCCAGTGGGACAATTTTCAACATACCTACTTTACTGACTCTAAATAAGAATAACTGGGTTAATTATGGCTTAATCAAGAGCTATGGAATAAAAATCCTAATCTCATTGGGCCTCAGTTTTTCTATCTTTAAATAGGTTGGACTAGATTAACTGGATACTATCTTCCATCAATTAAAACATACAATTAAACCATTTAAGCTAATATTATTAAGTACTCATAGTACTGTGAAACCTGTGGGAGCCAGAACTTAACAGGACTGCCTTGTTTTTTCGGACCTCAAAACTTTCACACCTTTGACAGGGTGCAGTCTTAACACTTTTCTATTGCTCCATTTTAGTGGAAAATATTTGTGTTTTCCTTGCTCAGCCAGGTTTCCAACTTACACAGGTTCCGGCTTTCACAGGTTTTACTGTAATTAACCAAGACTTCCCCACCTCAGTAAACAGCACTGTTGTTGTTGTTGTTGTTAGGTGTCATCCAGTTGGTTCTGACTCATAGCGACCCTATGTATGACGGAATGAAACACTGCCCAGTCTTGCGCCATCCTCACCATCACATGAGTTGGGTCGACTCAATGGCAAAGGGTTTGGTTTGGTTTTGGTTACCTTCCTACAAATGCTTAAATAAAAAAATCTTCAAGTCATCCTTGACAACCCTCTGTCTCTCACCTATTGCATCTAATCCATCATAAACTTCGTTGCTTCCACCTCCGAAATACTCCAAGGTCATACACCATCTTCATCTCCACCATTACTATCCTAGTCCACGCCCCTAACTTTCCCATCTGGGCACACTTTCTGATCCCTTCTTCTACAATTGGTCCCCTCTAATTTTCCAAACACCTGGAATGTCCTTTTCCGAAAGTAATTCAGATTACCTGGTAAAACCTGTGAAGAACTTCTTACTGCACTTAGGATACAATCCAAACTCTTGTGGTACAGAAAGATATACGGCCCTGGCAGATTATGACTGCACAGTGTACCAATCTCTCCCTTACTATGCTTCAGACTTACTTGTGTTCTTTCTGTATCTGAAATACACCAAATTCACTTCCAATTTAAGGAATTTATATTTGTACTTCTCTCTGACAGGGTTACTAGGTCCCAAAATCTCCCCATGGTTTTAACTTAAATGGTTTCTCTCTCACGATGCCTTTCCTGAACACCCACTCGAAATTACCACTATCACTATCACAGTCATTGTTCACATCACTGAATTTGATGGCAATACCACTTTCTGAAATAACCTGGTTCATTTGTTTTTCTCCTCCTTCCCAGAATGTACTTATTATAAACAGTATAGATCCTGTCTTGTCCCTGACATATGACAGTGCCTAAAACTCTGTCTAGCAAAGGGTCCAAAAAAAAAGTTGTCATGGAGTTAATTCTAACTACTCATGGTGATCCTATGTGTGTGGAGTAGAACTGCTCATAGAGTTTTCATGGGTGCATCCTTTCAGCAGCAGATCACCAAGCCTGTCTTCAGAGGCACCTCTGGGTGGGTTTGAACTAGCAACCTTTTGGCTAGTAGTTGAGTGCTTAACTGTTTGCACCACACAGGGACTAAAAGTAGGCATTCAATAAATATTGAATGGGTAGAGAGTGGAGTGTGAAGTCGGTGAGCACCATCTAGGAAATTTTGGCTTTAAAGTCAAGAAGGCCTTCTCCACTTATCAACTGCATGACATGGACAAGTTATTTAACTTCTATGAGGCAAATTTCCTCACCTGTCAGGGCTGAGATGACAGGTACATGCATCAGTGTTAGCACAAATTCCTAGTAGTGTCTAGAACATAACTAGGCACTAAGATTATTTATGCTTTCGAATTTCAGATTCTATATAACAGAAATGAAAAAAAAAAAGCAGAAACAGTCACTCATAAAAAAAATACTAGAATGTTACTTTGAATTTAACATTAGTAAGGTAATTTTGAAAAATGAAATTTGTAGACTACTTTCTAGGCAATGTGTCACAACTTCCTTTGTTGTTTTTTGTTTGCTTGTTTTCATTATCATGCACTTGTGAATTTCAAAATCTACAGTAGCAGATGGTTTTGGAATTCAGTATCTCTTTCCTCCTGTGGATGAAAACTGGCATCGGAAGAGATGTTGACCTAATAATATTACTGGGTAAACCTTTCAACATAAACTAGAGAGCGATAATGAAAGAAAGAAGTAATAAAGGAGAAGGGGTCCAGCAAGATCAGGACAGGGGAACCAGAGATGACAGGAATGACACTGATAAAAATCATGATCATATGAAGGGCTAACACGAACTGAACATTTACTCTGAGCCAGGTACTTTTTTTAAGAGTGTCACATGAATAAATTTTGGTCTTCAAATCAACCCTATGATGTAGGAACTCTTAACACCATTTTACAGATGAGGAAACTGAAGTACAGACCAACTGGTACCCTTCTCAAAGTCTCTGGGCTAGCAAATGGCTAAAGGCTACGTAAACGTGCCCAAGGTTAAACAACTAGCAAGTGACAGAGCAAGTCGAGCTAAGAAGCACAAACTCTTGCTCCCCATACTACTCTGCCTTCCTACAGCTGTTAGACAAATCATGTTTGGAGAACATACCACTTTAACATTTGTGATGAAAACTGTTGGCATGTGACCCTGTTTTCACTTAATGATTATGAACTTAGAAAACAATTATTAATGGTTATCTACTCCATGAACTACAGCTCAAATTTAATCTGAAGACAGGTTTATTTTTTTTTTTATCATACATTCACTATTAACCACTTGAATAACGGCAGCAGGTCTGGAAATGCCTTAAACTTAGTGCTGAAAATTCACACGATTCACTCCACTCCACTGTTTTTCAGGATTTAAATATAGGTTAATATGAATGAAGTAATGCATTGTCATGCAAGTAACCTGCAAATAATAAAGCGACTTAGTATCACTAGTATCTATATTTTATATTTCTTTCAAAATATGGAGTCCTGGTGGCAGTGCTTAAGAACTTGGCTGCTAACCAAAAGGTCCACCAGCCACTCTTTGGAAACCCTATGCGGCAGTTCTACTCTGTCCTATAGGGTCGCTGAGTCGGAATCGACTCGATGGCAAACGGCTCTTTCAGCTTTCAAAATATTGCCTAGAACTATCCCATTCTAGTCCTATTTGTTTTTCTTTGTTTTCAGTCCATATAATAAGCATTATCTTCTCAGATTTTTTAAAGCACTTCCACGTTTTCCCCTAACACTTATCCGTAAGGTGTTGCAACAATAAAGCCAAAATAAACTGTCAGTTATGACTGTTTCAATTTGCTCCTTTGGAAAAGGGAAATAGGTGCTAGACCAGCATAGCTGCATCCTGAGACTTAGGAAACGATAACAGCTTACGATGACAGTGCTAAACATTCTAAGAAGTGAACGGGAAAATCAACCCTGTGGTGCCCTCTCCATTCCTGCTCTGCTCTCCCGACGCCCAAAGGCGCTGGGAGACAGCGACAGCCATCTTCGGCCGCGGCCCGGCAGCCACAACCCAAGCCCGGTAGGCCTCGATCCTTCAACTCTCCCCGTGGGCTCCGGGCCGAGCCGCGAGACAGAAGCAAAAGGACAAGGCGTTGGAAGGCTTCCGCCAGTCCCGGGATTTCCAAATTGCTACGGACACAGACGGGAAAACCGATGCAGCAGGAGGCTGCGCTCCAACGACCAGGCGGAGACGAGCCCGTCGCGTTAGAAAATGCAGGGAAGAGGGCAACAAAATCAACCTAGACAAAATCACAACCTAAGAGTGACAAAGAGAGGCAGCCGGGGTTCTCAGCTCGCAGATCCGCGCCTCCCGCTAGCAGCCCAAGGGGCGCGGGGTCAAAGGTCGGTAGCAGGCGAGCGGCGAGCAGATTGGCTGACGGGCCCGGCGCGCAGGCGCTCGGGGTAGGCCCCGCGCCCGCTGCAACCGCGTCTGCCGGCCTCTGAATCTTCCAGCTACTCACCAGGGCCTGGGATTCCTGGCCAACAGCAGGGGTCTGCCTGCACAGCGGCTGAGGCAGAGACTAGCGCGCAAACCAGCAGCTATCCCCGGGCAAGCCCAACCAGTCCTGCCTCCGAAAAGGCGCACGCAGGGCGTTCCATCAGACCCGAAAGGCGGGCAAGGGGCTAGTGGGCGGGGCTCACTGAGTGGGCGGGGCGGGGCTCACTGAGTGGGCGGGGCGGGGCTCACTGAGTGGGCGGGGCGGGGCTCACTGAGTGGGCTGGGCTCGCGTTAGCAGTGAAACAGACAGCTACAAAAACCAAAAAAACAAAACCAAAAACAAATGCATGCCTTGGAGTTCATTCAAGCTCATAGCGACCCTATAGGGTAGAGTAGAACTGCCACCTGAGGTTTACAAAGGAGCAGCTGGTGGATTTGAACTCTCAGCCTTTTGGTTAGCAGTTCAGCTCTTAACCACTGCACCATCAATGTTCCGGTGGCTATGAGCCTCCCTTTTAATGAAGTACTAGAGAAGCCTGAATGAAAGAGGGGACAGTATTCAATCATATCCATTATAAGTGGAGACAGGGAGCAGGTTGGGGTCAGCTGGAGTCTCCTCCTCTTTTGCCTACTAAACATGATACACCCCTCGCTAAGACACTGTCTTCTAAGGCTCAGTTGGGAAGCCCTCACTAATAAAGGCCAGCTTTTTTGTTGGGAGACGTTCAAAACGTTGTTTCTAACTGTAGTACACTGGTTGTTTTTAAACTTTTTAAGTTGAGGGACTGTTTTGCCTGTGTTTTTTTTTTTTTTTTATTTAATAGAACTTTGCGGGAGATGGGGCAAAGATGACAGAGTAGTCAGACACTTCCAGTGGACCCTCTTAAAACAAAGACCCGAAAAAACAAGTGATTTGATTATATATGACAATCTAGGAGCCTTGAACATCAAAGGCAAAGTTGAGAACCAGACTGAGCGGTAGGGGGAGGGAGCTACAGTTCGGAAGCAGCAAGGAGGTGGCAGACCTGACCTGGCGAGAACCTGAGCCCTTCAGGCCTGATCAGCTTGGGGGTGAGGGTGAGGCAGGCAAACAGCGGTGCTTGGGAGGCATATTCTGCACAGGGAGAGACCCAGACGCAGTGAATCTACTTGGCCAAGCAGAACCAGTGAGAAGCAGCCCTCAATCACTGAAAGATAAATATTTGCATCCGGCCTACTGCGCAGACCAAAAACAACCCCCTCAGGGAAAAATCTCTATCCCATTTACTTCCCCACTCCCTGCTCTGCACTGGGTCCGGACGGGCTTCAGCAATTGCCAAGTCCCCTGGGTAGGAAGTAGGATCCATCGCACATCCTGAGCCGTTCTCCCAGCCTTGAAGAGTGAACAAATGAACAAATGGGAAAAAAAGAAACTGCCAGCTCCCCTAAGCCAGGAACCCAGGGTAGGCGCAGCTTCTTTGCCTAGGCACAGGCATAAAGGATCCATGGACTTTGAGTGCCTTTCCCCCAGCAGAGGCTTGTGTGGGCACGTTTCAACAGCATAGTCCCTCAATACCATAGTACAACAGGGTATGTACCTGAAGTCTAACTTCAACTGTTTCAGCTGCGAAGTGGCAGGTTTGTGACATTTGACTCTGCTCTGCCCATTAAGCAGGGTCTTCACCTACACACATCAGGGACCTGAGTACTGGTGGCTCCACCCATGCCACCTAGCCACCTGTGATAGGGGCCCAAGACTAAGAGGTGCTCCCCAGTCCTTACAGCCAACAGCATTGGGTGCTCATAGTCCGGCTGCAAAACCCACCCACCTACGTGCTCTAGGGAACAGGGACACGCCTTCCTCCTGGACACTCGGGGACGGCCATCAGCCCTCTGCCTTGCTCTGTGTTCCCCTGCTGCAGCCAGATGCCTGTGCCTACACAAATCATCCATGCCTGTCTAGGACTGTAGGTGAGAGTCTGCACCACACACTTGGTAGCTATCTACCTGGGCAACTGAGCTGGATCCATACAGGAGGAGTGGGCAGACTCCTGTGATCACATACCTAGTAACAGATCTAACCACCTGATGACAGGACATTAGAGCTTCAAAGTTGCCAATAATCAAACTAGCTCATACTAGCAGCCTATTTGGGCATATCAAAACAAAACAAGAAGCTAGGATACAGTAAGCAAACATAAAATAAATAAATTTAATAACTTATCGATGACTCAGAGACAACAGTCAATATCAAATCACATAAAGAGGCAATCCATGATGGCTTCAGCAAGCTCCCAAAATAAAGAATCTAGACATTTTCCAGAGGAGAAAAATCTCTTGGAATTACTGGAGGCAGAATACAAAAGATTAATATATAGAACTCTTCAAGAAATTAGGAAGGAAATTATGCAAACCACAGAAAATATAAATATAAACAAAATAGAGGGAATTAAAAAGATTAGAGAAGAGTATAATGATAAATTTAACAGGCTGCAAGAATCCATAGAGAGTCGGCAATCAGAAATCCAGAAGATTAAGAATAAAATTCAGAATTAGACAACTCAATAGAAAGTCATAGGAGTGGAATTGAGGCAATGGAAGTCAGAATTAGTGAGATTGAAGACAAAGCACTTGACACCAACTTATCTGAGGAAAAATCAGATAAAAGGATAAAAAAATGAAGAAACCCCAAGAAGTCTGTGGGACTCTATCAAGAGGAATAACCTACAAGTGATTAGAGTACCAGAACCGGGGTGGGGTGGGATAACAGAAAATAGAGAGAGAATTCTTGAAGATTTGTAGGCAGAAAACTTCCCTGGTATCATAAAAGATGAGAAGATATCTATCCAAGATGCTCACTGAACCCCACATAAGGTAGATCGCAAAAGAAAGTCACCAAGACATATCATAATCAAACTTGCCAAAACCAAAGATAAAGAGAATTTTAAGAGTGACTAGGGATAAACGAGAAGTCATCTACAAAGGAAAGTCAATAAGAGTAAGCTTGGACTACTCAGCAGAAACCATGCAGGCAAGGAGGCAATGGGATGACATATATAAAGCCTCTAAGGAAAAAAAATTGCCAGTCAAGAAATATATATCCAGCAAAACTGTCTCTCAAATATGATGGCAAAATTAGGGCATTTCCAGATAAACAGAAGTTTAGGGAATTTGCAAAAAACAAACCAAAACTACAAGAAATACTAAAGGGAGTCCTCAGATAACAAGCCAAGACTAGAACACAGGACAGAGCAACCAGATATCAATCCAGATAGGGAAGTCACAAAAATAAACCAAAGCAAAAACACTGAAAACAGGGAAACAGATGTCAATATGTAAAGGATGACAACATTAAAACAAAAAGAGAGACTTAAAAAATGTAGACAGATTTTTCAGATAGAGAGGAAGTCAAGGTGATATAAAGAAATAAAAGACTGTTATAAACTTAGAAAAATACAGATAAATATTAAGGTAACCACAAAGGAAACTAACAATGGTACAAGTCAAAATAAAAAACTAGAAAAACATAAAGACTCAGCAAATACAAAATCAGCAATGATGAAAAAAAAATACATAAAGAAAAACAACTCAGCACAGAAAATTAAGGGGAACGAAAACTGTGAACAAAAAGAGATATCAGGATGACAGCACTAAACTCATACCTATCAATAATTACACTGAATGTAAATGGACTAAATGCACCAATAAAGAGACAGAGAGTGGTAGGTTGGATAAAAAAGCACCATCCGCCTATATGCTGCCTACAAGAGACGCACCTTAGACTTAAAGACAAAAACAGGCTAAAACTCAAAGGATGGAAAAAAATGTATCAAGTGACCAACACTCAAAAAAGAGCAGGAGTGGCAATATTAATCTCTGACAAAATAGACTTTAAAGTAAAATCCACCACAAAGGGTAAGGAAGGACACTATATAATGATTAAAGGGTCAGTACACCGGGAGGACATAACTGTAATAAATAATTACGCACCCAATGACAGGGCTCCAAAATACATACAACAAAATCTAACAGCATTAAGAAGAGAGATAGACAGCTCCACAATAGCATTAGGAGACTTCAACACACCACTTTCGGTGAAGGACAGAACATCCAGAAAGAAGCTCAACAAAGATACGGAAGATCTAAATGCCACAATCAACCAACTTGATCTCATAGACATATACTGAACACTCCACCCAACAGCAGCCAAGTACACTTTCTTTTCCAATGCACACAGAACATTCTCCAGAATAGACCACATATTAGGCTGTAAAGCAACCCTTAACAGAATCCAGAGCATCAAAATATTACAAAGCATCTTTTCTGACCATAAAGCCATAAAAGTAGAAATCAATAACAGAAAAAGCAAGGGAAAAAAAATCAAACACATGGAAACTGAACAACACCTTGCTCAAAAACTACTGGGTTATAGAAGAAATTAAGGATGGAATAAAGAAATTCATAGAATCAAATGAGAATGGAAACACATCCTACCAGAACCTTTGAGACACAGCAAAAATCTCTATCTCATTTACCTCCCCACTCCCTGCTCTGCACTAGGCACTTGCACATAGAGTGGCCCACTGCCATAGTACATGTATTAATTCTCTGTCCAAAAGAACCCCTGCTCTGCAGCTGCCATCTCAGATCACATACCCCGTGTGGTGATATGTTACAACAACCATAGGAGCCATATTGGGCACATATTGTGCTCAATTAGTATTTGTTGAATAAATGAGCAGCAAACAGCAGGGATACAGTAAACAGATAAATGACAAGATGGCCAGGTTGGTCTAAAAACATTTCATGAGAAGAAAGAGAGTAGAACATACAATATGTTCTTTTGTTATACACTTTGAAACGTTCTTTGGATGTAAGAGAAGAATCATCCTACAAATATATCTACAGAATTAAAACTAATTACATTGAACTAGCCTGAATTTTTTGTTTTTTGAGATTGTCTAATATGATAGTTTCATAATAATTGGGTTTATTTGATTATGGATTCATTCATAATTTTTAAGGGGTGACTCCTAACAGAATACATCAATTAATAAGAGATACCTGCTTTCTAGCAGCTTGAAATCTACTGAGAAATAGAGAGATGTACACTATGTGGTACATATCAATGATCTACTTACCTCTATTTACACTACTTTAGTCATATTTGTATATATCTATATCCTCAACAGAT